ACACATTGCCCTTAGACAGGACATCTCCACTGCCTCCAACCGCCTCCTCGCTGCTGCATTCACAACCCAAGCTTCGCATCATATGAGAGTGTTGGTACTACTATACTTTCATACATTCCCTTCTTTGCCTCCATAGATAACATTTTTTGGCTCCACATATACCTCAATGCACCACTCACCTTTCCTTCATCAATTCTATGATTAACCTCATCCTTTATAAATCCATCCGCTGACACATCAACTCCCAAATATCTGAAAACATTCACTTCTTCCATACTCTTCCTCCTCAATTTAATATAAAATTTTTCTTTATCTAAATCATTTGATACCCTCATCACCTTACTCTTTTCTATGTTCACTTTCAACTTTCTACCTTTACACACACTCCCAAATTCATCCACTAACCTTCGCAATTTTTCTTTAGAATCTCCCATAAGCACAGTATCATCAGCAAAAAGTAACTGTGTCAATTCCCATTTTGTATTTGATTCCCCATAATTTAATCCCACCCCTCTCCTGAACACCCTAGCATTTACTTCTTTTACAACTCCATCTATAAATATATTAAACAACCATTTTGGCATTACACATCCCTGTCTAAGACCTACTTTTACCGGGAAGTATTCTCCCTCTCTTCTACACACCCTAACCTGAGCCTCCCTAGCCTCATAAAAACTCTTTACAGCATTTAGTAACTTACCACCTATTCCATATACGTACAGTGGACTCTCGACCAACGATGTTAATCCGTCCTTGAGAGCTCATCGTTAGTCGAAATTATCGTTAGTCAAGTTAATTTTCCCCCATAAGAAATAATGGAAATCAAATTAATCCATTCCTGACACCCCAAAGTATTGAAAAAAAAAAATTTTACCACATGAAATATTAATTTTAATACACACAAACTGAAGAAGACATGTACAATTACATGACACTTACCTTTATTGAAGATCTGGTGATGATTGATGGGATGGGAGGAGGGGAGAGTGTGGATAGTGTTAGTGTTTAGAAGGGGAATCCCCTTCCATTAGGACTTGAGGTGTCAAGACCTTTTCCGGGGTTATTTCCCTTCTTCTTTTAATGCCACTAGGACCAGCTTGAGAGTCACTGGACCTCTGTCGCACAACATATCTGTCCATAGAGCTCTGTACCTCCCGTTTCTTTACGATTGGTCTAAAATGGGCCACAACATTGTCATTGTAATAGTCACCAGCACGGCTTGCAATAGCTGTGTTAGGGTGATTTTCATCCATAAAGGTTTGCAGTTCAACCCACTTTGCACACATTTCCTTAATCTTTGAAGTAGGCACAATGGATTCCACAACTGGCATAGGCGTCTCAGGGTTAGCCCCAAACCCTTCAAAATTATTCTTAATTTCCATACTAATTCTCACCCTTTTTATCACAGGGATGGCACTAGAAGCTTTCTTTGGGCCCATGGTGACTTATTTTGCAGGTGCAATCATTAAAAACGCTGTGATAATATGAAATGTTCCGATTGTATGTTTGGATGCGACTGCGGTGGCTGGCTTGTAAACACTGCGCAGGCCACACGTGGACACGTCTCGAATGGAACGAATTGTGTTGGTTGAGTTATTTAGCACTAGTCGAGGCAAAATTTTTGCGTTAAAATGTATTGCTAGTCGGATTTAACGTTATACGATGCCATCGTTGGTCGAGGGTCCACTGTACATGTAACATCTGCCACATTGCTCCCCTATCCGCTCTATTATATGCCTTTTCTAAATCCATAAATGCAATAAAAGCTTCCCTACCTTTATCTAAATACTGTTCATATATATGCTTCAATGTAAACACTTGATCTACACATCCCCTACCCACTCTAAAACCTCCTTGCTCATCCGCAATCCAACATTCTGTCTTACCTTTAATTCTTTCAATAATAACCCTACCGTACACTTTTCCTGGTATACTCAGTAAACTTATCCCTCTATAATTTTTACAATCTCTTTTATCCCCCTTCCCTTTATATAAAGGGACTATACATGCTCTCTGCCAATCCCTAGGTACCTTCCCCTCTATCATACATTTATTAAACAAAAAATACCAACCACTCCAACACTATATCACCCCAGCTTTTAACATTTCTGTAATGATTCCGTCAGTTCCAGCTGCTTTACCCCCTTTCATTTTATGTAATGCCTCGTGCACCTCCCCCACACTCACATCCTGCTCTTCTTCACTCCTACAAGATGGTATACCACCCAGACCAGTGCATGAAATTACCGCCTCCCTTTCTTCATCGACATTTAAAAGTTCCTCAATATATTCTCGCCATCTACCCAATATATACCTCCATCTCTCCATCTACTAACTCCCCTACTCTGTTTTTAACTGACATGTCCATTCGTTCCCTAGGCTTTCTTAACTTGTTTAACTCGCTCCAAAATTTTTTCTTATTTTCATTAAAATTTCTTGACAGTGCCTCTCCCACTCTGTCATCTGCTCTCCTTTTGCACTTTCTCACCACTCTCTTTACCTTTCTTTTGCTCTCCATATACTCTACTCTTCGTATAACACTTCTGCTTTGTAAAAACCTCTCATAAGCTACTTTTTTCTTTTTTATCACACTCTTTATTTCATCATTCCACCAATCACTCCTCTTTCCTCCTGCACCCACCCTCCTATAACCACAAACTTCTGCCCCACATTCTAAGACTGCATTTTTAAAACTATTCCAACCCTCTTCAACCCCCCACTACTCATACTTGCACCAGCCCACCTTTCTGCCAGTAGTTGCTTATATCTCACTCGAACTTCCTCCTTCCTTAGTTTATACACTTTCACCTCCCTCTTACTTGTCGTTGTCATTTTCCTCTTGGCCCATCTACCTCTTACTCTAACTGTAGCTACAACTAAATAATGATCTGATATATCAGTTGCCCCTCTATAAACGTGTACATCCTGTAGCCTACCCATCAATCATAAATCATAAATACATAATCATAAATACATAATCATAAACAATACATAAACCGGTTATTTTATATAACCGGACTTGAGTCCTGGAAATGGGAAGTACAATGCCTGCACTCTAAAGGAGGGGTTTGGGATATTGGCAGTTTGGAGAGATATATTGTGTATTTTTATGCGTATATACTTCTAAGCTGTTGTATTCTGAGCACCTCTGCAAAAACAGTGATTGTGTGTGAGTGAGGTGAAAGTGTTGAATGATGATGAAAGTATTTTCTTTTTGGGGATTTTCTTTCTCTTTGGGTCACCCTGCTTCTGTGGGAGACGGCCGACTTGTTGAAAAAAAAAAATAATCTAATAAACTACTTTCATTACGAGCTATGTATATCATACCTTGCATATTTATTTATCCAATCTAATAAACTACTTTCATTATGAGCTATATCATACCTTGTATATTTATTTATCCTCTTTTTCATAAAATATGTATTACTTATTACCAAACCCTCTTTTTACACATAGCTCAATTAAAGGCTCCCCATTTTCATTTACCCCTGGCACCCCAAATTTACCTACTACTCCCTCCACAACATTTTTACCCACTTTAGCATTGAAATCCCCAACCACCATTACTCTCACACTTGGTTCAAAACTCCCCACGCATTCACTCAACATTTCCCAAAATCTGTATGTTCAGTACGACTTTATATTTTTTTGGTGCATTTGCTATCAAAGTTTAGCAAAAAAATGTACAATACAGGTTATTATTTTTTGCTTTGTATTATAATTGATAAATATGCTGATGTAGTGATCAGATATTACATATTCTAAATAATAAACTTGTTCTCTGGTTTTAGTATTATGTAAGCACTTTTAACTATATGCAGTAGAAAACCTTAAGAGCTTAGTCATAGCTCATGTTTTCATTATTCTGTGATTTAAATTTAGGCTTCCATTTCCAATAGACGTGTGCCATTTCCGTTAACCCTTTTGGGGTCCGTGCTGTAATATTACAGCTTTGAGCTTGGGGTCCATGCTGTAATAATATTGTAAATTCTATTAGCTTTAAATTGAGGCATACACATGAGAGAATGGGTCTGTGTGGTAAGAGTGCACCATATAAGAAAAATCCTGCCCCATGCAGAGCATGATGTGGAAGACAAAACCATGACTGTGTGTGTAGTTTAAAATAGCAAATTTTCAGTGTATTTTTGGATGGTTAGTTTTATTATGAGTTTCTTGGTATTATTTGATACAATGGAAGACATTTTGATTCAGGAGTGGAAGTAGTTTGAAGTTGAGCTCTAAAGTAGTGGAACTATTCAATTTTTGTCAATTATCCAGAGAATGGGTGAAGCCACCTACATCTCCTAGTCTGTTTTAATGGGTTTTTATTAGGTCTGATTCAATTACTGGGATGCTGTAAACCATGAACAATCTTTCCTGGCTATATATTATTATCTGAGAAATAAACAATCTTCTATTTTTGTGTGAATAAGAATTCAAAATAGAAAGCAAGGGTAACATCAGAGAGGTTTTTTTTTTTTTTAATTTTATGTGAAATTGGCCAAATTCCTGAAATCTGATCACTTTATAGAGTAGTTGAAATAGTTGAATGGTTGGCTTCTTGTGCTCAGTCAATAGAATGGAAGGTGCACAAGCAAAACAGCTAATAATTGGTCAACTAGAACCATGGAACTGCCTTAAAATGGGACTCAGTTGGCAGAATTGCCAGTGCATAAATTGTGCTGAGATCACTAACTTTGCATCTGTGTAATTCTCTAAGTTTTTCCATCAAATTTCATACTTTTGGTGCCTTTACCTTCAGAAAAAGATTCTCTACCATTTCTGAAGATTTTTTTTTTTTTTTTTTGTTTTTTTTTTCTTCTCTTTTTTTTACATTTAGAGCAAGTTTCATTTCAGATGCCTGGACAGTATAAGGTTTAGATACTAATAAATCCCCTTTGTGGGTGAATCTTTAGGCAGTGAAGGTTACCTTTCATATTGTTGCACATACCATCATAGTTTAATAATGAAGGGTTAATGTTAAATGTCCTTCACTTCAGATTGCCAAGGATGCTCGTGAGTGTGTACAGGAGTGTGTGAGTGAGTTCATCAGCTTTGTGACCAGTGAAGCTTCAGACAGATGTCACCAGGTGCGTTGGCATTGTTGTTATACTGAGTGGTGAGGTCGTGACATCTGGCGTTCCCTTGGTTTTCGTTCTAATGGTTCTTGTGATTATTATTGATGATGTATTGTGTGTGAAGATTGTTTCCAGATTATCAACCTGGAGGGCTAGTAATGCAGGATAACCCAGGAAAGCAGCTGGGCTGGCTTATTGCCACTGGGATATTTTCACACACTTCCCAAGAATGCGACCCACAGGTTGGCCAACACCTAGGATTAGACCCAGGTACTTGAAATGTGAACTGAAGATACCACTTCTTGAGTCATGAGCCACCTTTTATATTTTACTGTATACAACAAATAAAAATATCAATTTTATTTCCAAAAATTTAAAATATTGCAATTTTGGGAATTGTGTATGTAGTGCATACACAAGCAGGCCCCACTTATACAGCAGGTCAGGTTCCAGGCTACTGCTGTAAAGTGAATCATATCCCCTTTTTTTTTTTTCTACTTTCAAATGCATATAAAAGCCTGATAACATGTTTACACTATCATATATTAAGTGAGCAATAAAACTAGGCCTAAAAAATGAATATATAGTACACACATTGCTTACTTTCATTAAAATATTTTCATCCTTAGCTTATAATGAGTGGTAAATATATTTATTGCAGGAATTCCAAATAAATGAAGAATGGGTATAATTAACCCTTAAATGGTCCAAACGTATATATACGTTTTTTCAACATCTGAAAATATGTAAAAAAATGTAGATCTTCTTTTTTGTTTTACATTTGAAAACGTGTAAAAAACTTTTATCTACATATTTTTTTTTTTGTTATATTTGAAAATATGTCAAAAAAAGTAGATCTACTTTTGTAGCACTACGAATTTGAACGTCGATCTCTTTGGACCGTTTAAGGGTTAAAAACTGCTGCATTAGTGGGGGGGGGGAAGCCCCTGTTACATGAAACATTTTGGTCAGACTAAATGCTTTGCATACTAGTGGCTTTTTTTTTTTTTTTTTTACCAGTGTTTCATTACATGTAAACTACATTATTTTTTAACACAAAAAGAAATAAACATTTAAATTTGAACTGTTTAATACAGGTGCAGGTGTGGAAATGACTGATAAATATAATAGTATCTCATAGAATGGGTGGAAATTGAAGCCATGGTATATCAGTGTTTAACTCGTAAACGGTCCAAGCAGATCTACGTTCACATGTGTAGCGCTACAAAAGTAGATCTACGTTTTTTTACATATTTTCAAATATAAGAACAAAAAAAGTAGATCAAAGTATTTTTACACATTTTCAAATGTAAAAAAAAAAAACAAAAAAGATCTACTTTTTTTACGTACTTTCAAATGTTGAAAAAACGTATATATATGTTTACGGGTTAAGCTAGCTGGCCAGGAAGCTGATCAGCATATCATGCTAACCTAGTAAAAATCATCCAGTTAAGCTTATTTCTGTGCACACTTGGAAGGTTAGTATGGGCCCTACAATGACCTCAAATGCTAGCTTTTACAGATGAATTTCACCACCACATTGGAGGCAAGCTCAGTCTCAAGTCCCTTGAAGACCATTATGAGTGACTTGAAATCACATTAACAAAATTGTGAACAACTCTTGGTAAGGGTTGGATTCAACACTGTGGTGTCCAAGTATTAAAGCTGGTGGACCAACCAGTCTTCTAACTGAAGTAAAGCCTCTCTTTAATGGACTTCATTTAACAGATATTGGGAACTGTAGACAAAGATACATTAGCCAGACACATCAAAATTATAATCAGACAAAATGTAAAAAGACTATAGATTCCAGATTTTGTCCATAGCAGTAGTGTCCAGTAGTCTTTTGAATCAGTGGACTAAGTCTGATGATTCCAACATTTGTCTGGTATGGGCCAGAGTGTGCTTGTCCAGGGCCTGTCTGTTTTCATTGTTTCTCGAGTCTAAGGCTACCTGTGTCAGTTTGTGTGTTCACTCTCACAAACACTCATTGTTCAATCTTCATTTTTCCTAGATTTCTCCTCAAGGGAGGTTCCTTGGTGCTGGTGAGGGGCTCTTGATCTAAGGAATTGGATCTGTGCTCTGGTTCCCTGAATTAAGCCTGAATACCTTCCACCCCCCACCCCACCCACATGCACTGTATAATCCTACAAGTTTAGCTCTCCCCCATGATTATAATACATAATAATAATAATTTTCCTGGATTTACAGTGTTTTATGTGACTTATTAACATACTAAAAACACTGATATCCCAAGTGTTCGACTCAGCCCGCATAGAACCTCCATGGTCATAAAAGGCCCAAGAATATGGAAAAGACTGCTAGAAGGTCTCCATGTGCACTCTGTTTCAAAAACATTATAAAAAATCTCAACCTGAATTTGATGTGTTTCATAAAGACTAGCTATAAGTTCCACGTACAGCCTCTCCTCACTTAGTGACGTACTCGTTTCCTGACGACTCAGACTTACAATGGGCTCTGACCAGTTTGCATACCTAAATAATGTATATTAGAGCTGATTTCCTCTATTCTCTTTATTACAATATACAGTACACCACTGAATAAACATTTAAAAATATACCAGAAATGTTATAAAGCGAGAAGAGGCTGTACAGTGGACCCCCGGTTAACGATATTTTTTCATTCCAGAAGTATGTTTAGGTGCCAGTACTGACCGAATTTGTTCCCATAAGGAATATTGTGAAGTAGATTAGTCCATTTCAGACCCCCCAAACATACACGTACAAACGCACTTACATAAATACACTTACATAATTGGTCGCATTGGGAGGAGATCGTTAAGCGGGGGTCCACTGTATATCTAAAGCATATTGTCAGTCCTGATTCTAGTCAGAATTAATACCTATGTACTTCTTTTCTCCTATATTTCTACTCCAATAATTTTCTATTTCTCAAATTGTAATTGCTGTTTTGTTATTGTCTCTCAGTATTAACCCTTCAGGGTTGTAACCCAGCTCTCAAACTTGCTTTTGGGGTAACAAAATTTAAAAAAAAAACCATTTTTTTCTTATGAAATAGTAATCTTTTTCCTAAGGTAATGAAACCAAAAGTACAAAATTTGATGGAAAACTTACAGAATTATGCTCTTGCAAAGTTAGCAGTTTTTGTCCTTGCTTTTGATCCTGTAATCTAATCTCATGAATTTTAAGGTTTGAATGTATTTGGTAGCTATTAGAAATACAGTATTATTTTTCATGGCTCATTTAATGATGTAGTTTATCTTTTACAGGAGAAAAGGAAGACTATCAATGGTGAAGACATCTTGTGGGCCATGAATGCACTAGGGTTTGAGAATTATGTTGAACCCCTTAAAATCTACCTTCAAAAATTTCGTGAGGTGAGTGAGGGAGTGAGTATGAAGCAACACAGATGATAACAATCTCTGAAATATATACGTATCTCTTTTAAAGCAAACTGTAAATTTGTTGTATTTCTTATATGGAAATATCATTATCTCCCATTTCCCACATGTTACATGACCCCAAAGGATTTAGTGCTTACTGGTGTTGACGAGGCTAGACTCCTTAGTCCACATATCCTTGACCTGTTCTTGATGATCCTGACACTGACACTGCTCACTCCTGCTCTAAGGAACAAGCTTCTCAGAAACCTTTTCTCCTCCAGTCTACATTTCATAGATGCTCCTGGTCAAAATTCTTTTCTCTTCAGCCAGCAACACCTACAAATTACTTCACTGGCCATAGCATAACAAAACATTCTTGAGGTATGTTGGGCAAAACATTTCCTGTAATAATCTGTCCCTTCTTCACTCTGTTGACTACACCCCTGTCACAACACACACATTCTTCTGACAGTGCTAGCTGCAGTACTGTCCTCATTCCACATTCTTTAGTCCAGCAGGACGTTGCTCATTGTGGCCTGGATATTCAGGAGCAACTTAGGTTTAAGAACCTCCCAGTTATCAAAGTAGAATTTTGTGTACTTGCCTGTGGTCGGATGTGTTATCCATGTAGTGTTGCTAAACTGACCTTAAACTAACAGTTGCATCCAGCTTTGGTTTATATAGTAGGACAGCACTTGCAAGTGAAGAAATTAATCCTTACCAATAGCAGAAATTTCTGTTGGTTTAGCCATTTAGCTAAGTATTGTAGGTCATTGGCAGAATGCCCGGACTATGGTGTAGCTGACCATAATAATTCATCCTGCAGCCGGGCTTCCTCTTTGTCTTCACCATAGTGAGGGTCACCCTACATATTCTCTCCAGTGCCTACTTTTCTCACAGAACACAAAATACATTATCTGAACCAGCACTGGCCATGCTGTAGTACTTCGGCTTGAGCTCAGCTCACTTGGATAAGCTGTGAGTAGTAAATTTTGGCCTAAATATGAGAGAATGAGTCTATGTGGTAAGTGTGAACCATATAAAGAAAATCGTGCAGCACATGGTGCATAATGAGAAAAAAACTGCGACTGTGTTTTTGGTTTAAAACAGCAGCTTTGTGGTGTATTTTTGCATGGTTTTTTGGTTATATTCTTGGTTTCATTTGATAGAATGATATAGAAATAAAGATGACTTTGATTAGTTTCAGGACTGAAAATAACTTGAAATTGAGCTCAAAGTAGTGGAAATGTTTGATTTTTGCCGATATGCAAGAGTAAACAAACGACTTCACTTGTCCATTACACGTCTAACTGGTGGGTGTAATATGCGTTCTCAAATGCGCTGATATTATTTATACATTTGTGTATAACAATATTGCATAACAGTAAATCTTCTATTTTTTTATGTGAAGAAAAAAATCAAACCTAGGTAGTAGATTGGTAGACAGTGACCGCCCAGGGAGGTACTACCGTCCTGCCAGGTGAGTGTAAAACGAAAGCCTGTAATTGTTTTACATGATGGTAGGATTGCTGGTGTCCATTTTTCTGTCTCACAAACACGCAAGGTTTCAGGCACGTCTTGCTACTTCTGCTTACACTTAGGTCACACTACACATACATGTACAAGCATATATATATACACACCCCACTGGGTTTTCTTCTATTGTCTTACTAGTTCTTGTTCTTGTTTATTTCCTCTTACCTCCATGGGGAAGTGGAACAGAATTCTTCCTCCGTAAGCCATGCGTGTTGTAAGAGGCGACTAAAATGCCAGGAGCAAGGGGCTAGTAACCCCTTCTCCTGTATATATTACTAAATGTAAAAGGAGAAACTTTCGTTTTTCCTTTTGGGCCACCCTGCCTCGGTGGGATATGGCCGGTGTGTTAAAAATAAAAAAAAAAAAATGGAATTCATGTTGTAAAGCTTGTAACAAAACTAATGAAAAGAGGAAATGTTATTTTAGTGCCAGGAATCTTTCTTTCTTTCTTTCAACGTACCAGCCGTATCCCACCGAGGTGGGGTGGCCCAAAAGAAAAAACCAAAGTTTCTCCTTTCAAATTTAGTAATATATACAGGAGAAGGGGTTACTAGCCCCTTGCTCCTGGCATTTCAGTCGCCTCTTACGACACGCATGGCTTACGGAGGAAGAATTCTGTTCCACTTCCCCATGGAGAAGTGCCAGGAATACCTGCATTATTTATTCTGAACCTTTTTTTTTTTATATACAGGGTTTGACAAGGTTAGGTTAAGGACCCCTAGCTTTATTGACAAGCTATTTACAGGTTAAGAATACCTAACTTTATTGACAAGCTAAGAGCTGATCACTTTATGGGTAGTTGAAATAGTAGATTGGGTGATTTCTTGTGCTCAGTCAATGAGATGGAAGACGTACTAGTAAAATAGCTAAGAATTTGGCTGACTGGAACACTGTAATTGGCCTAACATAGGACTTAAAGTATTGCAGAAGCATAATTTCATCAATTTTCCATTAAATTTCATACTTTTTGTTTTATTACCTTCAGAAAAAGATTCAATACTATTTCTTAAGGAGAAAATGACAATTTTTTTAAAAATCTTGGATAGTGTGAACAAGTTTCAGATCGGGGGTCTGGACAGTGAAAGGGTTAAAGATAAGAAGAGCCTCTTGTATGCTAGGGCAGTTTCTCTCTTCCACCTTTAACCCTTTCAGGTTCAAGAGGCCCTCTCCTAAACTTGTTTTCAGGGTCGAAAATTTTTCGGGAAAAAAAATTATTTTTTCTTATGAAAAGATAGAGAATCTTTTCCCGATCATAATGACACCAAAAGTATGAATTTTGATGGAAAACTTAGGGAATTATGCTCTCGCAAAGTTAGTGGTCTCAACTATGTTTGTGCATGGGCGATTTCGCCCACTTTGAGCCCTATTTTCGGCCAATTCCAGTGTACTAGTCGACAAAAATCATAACTATTTCGCTAAAACTCCATTTTTTTCTATCCGCTAAAACTCCATTTTTTCTATCGCATGAGTACAAGAAACCACCCATTTACCGATTTCAACTATCCAATAAAGTGGTCAGAAATTAGCAATTTTCTCAATTTCACACAAATTTCAAAAGATGCCAATTTCCAAATAGGGTCCAGAATAAACAAGATAGACATTTCTGGCACTAAAATAACATTTCCTCTGTTCATTAGTCATGCCCCCATGCCCCTCTTACATTTCTTTTGCTTTCCACTTTGAATTTTTATTCTCACAAAAAATAGAAGATTTACTGTTATGCAGACTACTGCATTAGTGTAGAAATGGTATAAATAATATCAGCACACTTGTGAAAGAATATTAGACTCACCAGTTGACGTGTATTGGACGCGTGGCATTTGTTTACTTTTGAACTTCAGCAAAAATCAAACATTTCTGCTACTTTGAGCTCAATTTCGAGGTACTTTTCATTGTGAAACCAATCAAAATCATCTCAATTTCTGTAATATGTCTTCAGTTCTATAAAATGAGACCAGGAAAACTAGAATACAACCATAAATACCATACGAAAATACAGTGCAAAGTTGCTGTTTTAAACCAAAAACACAAAGTTTTTTTTTCTCATTACGCACTGTGTGCTGCAGGATTTTTTTTTTATACTGTGCACACTGACCACATAGACCCATTCTTTCATATGTAGTCCTACCAGCTTTCTCACTAGATTTGAAGGCGCTAGAATTTAGGCATACTAGTACGTCAATAACCCTGGTGCATAAGCTGTATTAGTACGTCGGAAACCCTGAAAGGGTTAGGGGAGACATCTGTGCTTCTCATACTCCAAAGTTGCTAGGCACCTTCAGGCCCTTGTTGTACCCTCACCCACAGTCTTTCTTCTTTCTTTCAACACACCAGCCGTATCCCACTGAGGTGGGGTGGCCCAAAAGGAAAAACGAAAGTTTCGCCTTTTAAATTTAGTAATATATACAGGAGTAGGGGTTACTAGCCCCTTGCTCCCGGCATTTTAGTCGCCTCTTACAACACGCATGGCTTACGGAGGAAGAATTCTGTTCCACTTCCCCATGGAGATAAGAGGAAATAAACAAGAACAAGAACTAGAAAGAAAATAGAAGAAAACCCAGAGGGGTGTCTATATAAATGCTTGTACATGTATGTGTAGTGTGACCTAAGTTTAAGTAGAAGTAGCAAGATGTACCTGAAATCTTGCATGTTCATGAGACAGAATAAAGGACACCAGCAATCCTACCGTCATGTACAACAATGACAGGCTTTCGTTTTACGCTCACTTGGCAGGACGGTAGTACCTCCCTGGGCGGTTGCTGTCTACCAACCTACTACCCAGATCACCCACAGTCACCCATGCTTATTTCTTTGTTGTATTCTATCCCGTGTGTTTCTCCATCCACACAGCCTTCCCTACCTAATCCTTCATCTTCATTTCAGCACCTCAAAGGCCCAAAACTCCCTACCAACCGTTTGCTCTGTGCTTAACTATTCATACCTCTGAGTCATGCCCCTTGCCTTGTGTGGCAGTGACAGTTCTAGACATCCATCCACCCCTACATAATGACATTACCCCCTCTGTTTCTACTTAGGTTCCTTCTTCCCCGTATACCACTAGTCTCTCTTTCTACTCCTTGGGTAGGCTCCAATGTCTCTTCTCTCTACTCCACCTACCCCTTTTGAATCTTGCTCTGTGCTGACCATCCTAGCTGATAGCCACTGCTTGCTTTCAATTGTCTTCCCATTTACTGCTGTCTTTATTATAGTGTAATATAAGATTATACAGGGAAAATTGAGGGGAGTTCCAAGTGTTGCTCTCCCAGTTTTGTCCTCTTGTGTTTGCAAGAACCAAAATTACATTCCACTCTTGGTCTTATCTCTGTCTATTTTATTGCAGCCACTTGATGCTTTTCCTGATGAAACATTAACAAGAGTGCACTTCTTGTGAGCATTGATATATCTTATTCTCAGTTTTCCATCTGTACTGTCTCATTATACTGTGGTACGTGTCTTTT